CAGTAGCGCACATTTTACTTACAATAATATTCGGTAGGGTGCCCTCCGGGACGCTACTGGATTTCATAAGTCTAATGCAATGATGGCTGAATCAGCCCCTCGAAACAAAAATCATCATTGCCAAATTTCAAGAGAATTGGCGGAAGAATATTTGAGATATTCATAAAAAACAGATTTATTTTTGAAAGTTCAACACACTGTACCTTGAAAACTTTGCATTTCCGGACCCACATTTTCATGGAATAAATTTCATATTTTTCCATGCAGAATCACCCGCTTAATTTTTTGCGCATAATTTCCGGACACCCTGTATATGAATTTTTGATTATTATAATGAAAAATATTCCAAAGAACTGCATAATAACCATTAGGCTATAAACACAAAAACAATGTTTTATTGAATAGGGAACCAGGAGACTAGTGATTGCAATTCTAATCAGTATCTTTATTTTTCAGAAAAGAGATATAATTGCTGAAATCATCTAAAGACCTCTGCTTTATTTCCAAAATTGTCGTTGTCTCTTTTCCTTATTGGCTTCCCTCTCTTTCATTTCATTGCAAAATTTTTGCTGCTGTTCTGCTATTTTCAAGCCTTTTGTTTTTTTCTGTGGATTCTGATGCATTAACATCAGCTTTATCAATGTGTGTATCACCAGTGAATAAATCTGCATAGATGGCATCATCAGCACTCATATAAGTTTTACTTTGCATAGAGCTTCTTGAACAAGTAACTGATACTGGTATGATGTTGAGATCATTTCCAAAAATGTCTTCAAACTGGTCGAAGTACTCAAACAATTATTCTGTCAGAACCTGTAGCTTTTCTAGATAGGTTGTCTTTTTTCTTGGCGTATTTAGATTTCATATACTTGAATTTATTTTTGCATCGCTCTCAGGGTTTGTAATAAAATGAATTTCCACACTTTCTCATTCATCATTGTTGTAGACTTGAATAAATGTACATGTTCCTGAAACAAGTTGATTGATTTCTAAATTTCATTCATTGTCCAAACTGTGCGTTCATTTTCTGTTTCATCTGCACTCGCTTCATTTTCATCTGTTACAAGTGATGTCTTGACTCTCCTGCATGAAAATACTTGAGATCAGATAGGTACCATATGAATAGGTAGATAATGTAAAAATAGGTGTACTTACAGATGCAGTGCAGTGAGCACCGCAGTGAGCACCGCAGAACCAATACCAGGAACAAGCAACGACTATAGAAGTACTGGAAAATATCACAAGATCTGGACTTCCAACAAAAGGCCCACGCAGGAAGATATAAAAGCCACGGAAACATTCCTAAAACTGCGCACAAAATATGCAGAGTTTGACGATCGAAAAACCGTGAAGTCACAATGGAAAAAAATTGCAAATGGAATGTCTGAGATAGGATTTTTTATGGGTGAAGGTGAAGAGGCTGTTGAAAAATGAGGCTGAAATTCAGCAACCTTCAGAAACAATATCTCCAAGATTTGATGCATGAAATTCTTGGAGGGAAGGATAAATCAAACCCCACTAACCTACAAGACTCCTTGCAGGATGTCTCCAAAGATGATGAAATAGACTGTAAAGATGAGTCTCAAGGTGCTTCAGATAAAGTTCGAAAGAAATTGTCAGGAAAAAAACATGAGAGATGACATACAAAATATGTTCAAGAAATCAAGTAGTATCAAAGTCAGTCACAGACCCATAGACCAAAGAGTTCCAATGTGAAATAGTTAGAATTAGCTGTCTCTGAATGAGAAGATAGGAAAAAGCATATGTCCAAATTAGAAAATTTACTGAAGAAACAAATAACCAGAGAGATTAACTTCTTTATAAACTTGACAAAATAATTGATGTATTGTCATCAGCCAGAAAAAGAAGTCGAGAAGAGTCAGATGAAGATTGAACATTTTTGGCTCTTGAAACCAAGTTGAAGGGCCCAGATGTTTGAATTATTTTGAAATGTAACTATTTTTCACAGTAGTTAGTGATATTTCAATTTCTTGCTCAAGAGAATCTGTATTATTTTTTTGTTACATTCTGAATATATGTTTGTTCTCCAATTCGTTGAATTCACTTCAAAATATCAATTTACATAATTCCTATCATCACAGTCTTATATATGGACATCTATTATTGCAGATTAATATCACAAAATATCTCAATTTCCTAAGACTCGCATAAGCATGGATATTATGAAATTAGGAGTTTTTGAAATTTAAAACAAGAAACACATAATTTGGTATGAATATATTCAGGAAAGATACATTCATGAAAAATGAATAGATTTGTCAAAACAATCTGAGAATGAATCTGGCATGAAAGAACTGGGTGATATTAAAAATTAAATAATTCTTGTATGGTTTCTACTTGTCCATAAATCTTGCATTATGTTATGTATCTTTACTTCCCCTATCAAATTTTGCAGCCTGTCATCATCAGCAAAATCTGCAGCAGGGTAGGGTTCTTCAAAATAGTCTTCTTCATTCCACTGATCATGACTTATTATGCAGGAATTATGAAGAATACCAGCAGCTATAGATATTTGAATCGCTTTGCTGATTGAATATGTATCAATATATTTTAGTCTCGCCCATCTACCCTTCAAAAATGCGAATGCATTTTCTATATTCACTCTGCTCGATGATAATCAAAAACTGAAATACTCCTGCTCATCATTTAAATTTGTTGATAAGATGATATGGCATGTTTCTGTTGGGAAATATTCATATTTTCCATGTCGTTCAATCTCCCTGTGCATGTGAAAAAAACTGCAAACATATGTGGATTTTAGAAAAGTTGTTTTCAATTTATTGATGTCCTGGACAAATCACAACAGTTCAACTTACTCTTGCATCATGGGCACATCCCGGAGTTTTTCAGCTGTACATACAGCAGTTAAAATAATAGAGTGATGTTGAAATCTGTCGATGTAACTGTCTTGCTGTGCTACTGGTACTTTTAAATTTATATGTATACCATCAATGGCTCGAAGAACTCCTGGAACATATTATGAATTCATCATTTGATGATATTGACGAAAAGGTTACCTAGTGTACATACTAGGTGATTTATAAGATAGTTAGTACGCTGGAAATGATGGAAATCTGATTCGACAAATCATCTGTATTTCCAAAAGACAGGCCGAATACTTCTGTCACAAGTTGTTGTGATTCATACCTAAGAGTATTATCTGAAAAAAAATAGTCAAGTATCACCATCATTACATAGGTACCTACTGACTAGATATTTGCAAAACGAATAAACGAAGTATGAACAACATATCATTGATTCCTTGTAGAATAACATTTCCTTTTTTATTTAAAATAACATTTCCTTCAGTATTCACGAATAAATTGTGCGAATGGGTCGATACTATTTTATTGGAATTCATCATTTCATCCCAACCTCAAATATTCATGACACTCATGACAGCAGTATAACTTTTTACCGCCTATTTTCTGAGGTAAAAGGTTGATGGCTCGACAACTCACACCCGGGACCTTGAATGATTTCGATTCATTACACGGCGAACATCCTGAACGCGTTAACCACTTCGAATGCGCCTTCGTCTCAGTTCGACAAGTTTTCATCGTTGTATACATGAAGTAACTGAGATAATTAATGATAATATTTCAGACAATTACATACAATTTCCCAGTACATGGAAGACAGGCAAGTCATTGAAATTGAATGCATGGCAAGGTGGCAATTTCCTGGAATAATCAAAGGTATAGATGGTACACATATAGCTATTCTGAAGCCATCAGAGAATGAACACAATCTTATCAATCGTAAAGGGTTTCACAGTATAAATGTACAAGTTATATATGATCATAATATGAAGTTCCTGAATGTAAATGCCAACTATGGTGGAAGCACTCATGACTCCTTTATATGGAGAAATTCATTGATTCAAACATATATGAGACATCAAGATGAGAATTAAAGAGGAGTTTATTCATGGCTCATAGGTGATTCTGGTTATCCTCTCCAGCCATACTTGATGACACCCATTCCGAATCCCCCAGAACACAGTCCTAAGTCTGCTTATACAATTATGCTCATATAAGAGCACGTAATGTTGTTGAGAGAGCTCTTGGAGTACTGAAAATGGGATTCAGGTGCCTCTTACGAGAAATAGTAGCTAGATATGACCATGTTTCTGTTGCAAATCTTGTGATAGCATCTATAGTGCTGCATAATATGTGTGAACCTGGAAAAAATCCACTGCTATGTAGGTATTATCTTCTATTTATACTGTAAGATTACCACCAGAAACTGAATTGTGAATTCCCTAAAATGAATCTTACTTGACTACTCTGTCACTCACTGTTATTGTCATTTCTATTGAGTGATTCACAATATGCTGTTAACAAAATTTTAACAAAAATATTCTTCAACAGGTTATGCCAATATTCTGATCAGATATTTTCCAGAACAATTAGTTTGATTATTTCAGGAAATTCGTTGGCGTGTTTTTTTTGAGCTGCATTTTGTAGCAATGAATTTTGAATGGAACATGGTCATGAACAAAATATATTTTAAATGATATCTTCCAGATATTCAATGAATCATAAACATAGAAAAGGCAAATGAACTGGTAATCTTGTCCTCTCCATTACTGAGAAAAGATAATCATAAACAGTCTAATATTCTCTAGAAGAGAAAATCACTCTGATCATAATGAACGAAAAACTGGAAATGAACCATTGCTCCTATTTATTATATCATTCAGTAGCTATTGTGTTCAGGGCAGTTTGAATACCATTAATATATTCACATAACTCTTTGAGAACATTTTTTATGTCTCTGAGATCTGTTTTTGTTTCTCTATACATATTTTTAAATCATTTTTCGTATCAGGATTCATTTTCTTTCTTTTTTTTTTTTTGAAGGAGTCCTTGAATAATCATGATCCTTATTGGTTACTTTCCTGAAATATAAATGCATAGTTTTAAGAAACCATGAATAATATTCAGAATCAACTACATATTCTACATAATATTAACCCGTTTTTTTTTCTTGATTAATATCCGAATTGGAGGTGGAGGGCAAAATAATTGCATCTTTTTTATCAGAAATTATTGTGTCTGCCTCCTCATTCCTCTGTTCGAGAAGAGTTGATCCTATGGCATGTGGAGGCGACATGACGTGCACTGAAATGGCCAAGTATTAGTATTTTCAATCCATTTTGAGACACATTTTCCTGACAGAAGTCCCAGGATGATTTACTCACAACATTTTCAGGCAGCCCACTGCCCTGAAAGAAGGAGTCTCCTAGATTATTCCAATCCTTATTTCAAAATCAGTAAGTGGACTGATTCTGGGTTGTCCGATGGCTTTCTCTTCAAGTTTCATTTGAAGTCGATCCAAATCTGTAGGAATCAAAAAGTTATCTTGTTCGAAATAGAACGAGTAGGTATAGATTATCTATAGAACTATTGGAGGCTATTGAATTGGGTAAACTATGAAAACTTCACTTGGTATTTTTATTTCAACTTGAAAAACTTCAACTACCTTCTTCCATTTTTCACTAATTCTTCTAGTCCTAAAGCATTAAACTCTTTTTAATTGTTCCTACAGTTTCCTCATTCTTTCTTTACCAACAGGACCATCTATTCTGCCCTTGGCTACTCCTGGATATTTTTCCATAAAATTGACAATCAATTCCCAGTGAACTTGGGTTACTCTGAAAGCCATGCTGAAGAATATACTATTATATATGTAGGTAGGAGTTAGGTAGGTACTCCATGAAGTGAACTTAAATTTGAAAGATTTAATTTAGTCCAAAGTATGTTAGTGAATACTATAGCCGAAATCCGCAGACAAAAAAAAATGAAAACTCCTTCCTTCGTTGACAGAATTTTATAATAAACAAAAAGCAACGATGAAAAAGAACAACATGATATTAGACCAAAATGGATATATATCCTTTCGACTCACGACAAATAAGTGGCTGTCGTCAACTAATCGTTAGAATATAACCTATTTGCAACACTAATATGATTGTCAAATAGCTTGGGAATCGACAAAATCGTGATTACGATACGATTAACGTCCGGTCGTGACTTCGAAATCCCGCTGCAGGATGTTGGGTCTGATTTCTTCCTAATAGATTTCCTTGGGTTTGTATCAGAAGGTAATAGACTCGAAAAATCTGACATTTGACATTCTGAATGCCATTCTTGTCAAAACCCTATCGCACAAAATAGACAGTTGTGACAGGAATGAAGCTGAAGTCACACATAACTTTTGACATGAATATAGAACATAGACCCATAGAACATAATTATCTGCTGAACACGGAAATAGATTTTTCAGTACCGAAACATCATATTTTGGTGCTAACAGCAAATAGTTATAGATTCATGACATATTTCAATATCGTAACAATCTCCGTGAAATAATGATAGATCTATTAAAAGTGAGGACAAGAACAAAATTGGTAATGAATCTAAATCGTTCATGGTCCCGTGGACCTATCCAAGATGCTCAGGGTTGCCAATCATGGCGATTATTCGCCATATTTCATTCACATTACCAGTTTTGTTCAGGGCTGATAATCCCATTTCATTGTGTTTAACCATGACATCATTTCCGATTTAGTACACCTCACCTACCTCCCCTAGAGTTTACCAACTCCATTGTTGATGAAGGTGGTTGGGTTAAACTTGAATATTTGGAAATTGGAAATGAATGGAGTAGATACACGCCGGATGAACTGGGGTAGTGGGGAAAGTGAGAGAAATAGGTTCTCAAAAATAGTTAATGTTGTCGTCGTAATGACGATATCCACTCCATTCATTTTCAATTTGAATGTTCCCATCATATCATCTATTTTTCACATTCATCATTTGTGAACAAATATATTCAAGTTCACCTTCAACCACCTTAACCTACTATGGAGCTGATAAACCGTATGGCAGGTAGGGGTGATGTACCCAAACGAAAATGACGTCACTGGTTAACACAATGAAATGGGATTATCAGATTCAACCATGACGGGTAATGTGAATGAAATATACCTCATGGCTATTTATTTTCTCGAGCGGCGACTATATACATTTTTGATTCTGCTATGGGCTGCTTTGGGCGATATTAATTAGCCTGATCGGCTATTTTGGGCGATTTACCTTGCCACTGAGGGAATTACATCATTGTGAATCAGTAATATATCAGTATCAAAACCATAGAAACTAAAACCATTGAACTGAACATAAACTGAATTGAATAGAAGCTGACAATTGATATGTTCTTCTCTTTGTCAATCATTTTGTCATGTCATTCTGTCATTGGTCAGAAGTTGAGTTTTATTCATCTGATTACGCCACCGGCACCACTTTGAGTTGTCGTTTTATTTGCCATTTTTCCGATTCCGGTTGCCACTGTCCATTCTGTCTCACTACCAGGAATGACGTGGAATGACTGTTGGCAGTTGCCAAAAAATAAATCAAATTGACGAAAAACTAAAATTTTTTCAAAAGTAGAAGACATTCAGATGGCATTTTTATCGTGATCTGTTATTGTTTATGATTTTTTCGAGTAAGACAGGTTTCATGTGCTCATTCCCAGATAATATGAATTCTCTAGATCTCAGAGATCTCGTTGGTTGATTTTCTAGATTTTCTAGATTCTTAAGTCTAGTATTATGATTTTGAGATCATTTGGAGCCCCAATATATAAATAGAACCTCTCTCTATCTATAATATGTCAATTCTCTCATGCAAGGTCATGAAGTTTCTCGTTTTATTTGTGCTATTCTGTTCCCATCACCACTACCCGAATGGAACAAATAAAACGCAGCTATTGGGTCTATATATCGTGGATAAGAACATTTGGTTTCAATAATCAATCAGTATTTTTATATTATGTATTGGAAAATGAGCTCTCAAAGAGAGTACAAGAAGACAAGAAATAATGGCAGGAATTGCCAGTGTTTGAAGGTATGAGTATGAAACTATTCAAAATTAACAATCAAATGATGACAATGTGTTTTTGTAGGATGGCTTCAACAGGACTCTGATGATTCAGATGGAGCTTATTGCTCTGTATTCAAACTTCCTTAGCGATCACATCGAACAGATTTAGTAAATCATTCAAAAAAACCAAAACATGAAATCAACTACTCGAAAACAAATCCTAAAAAAAGTCAGACTGCCTTTATTGCAGTTCACTCAAATATCAGAGCAGTGGATCATTTATCGAATTTGCTCCAGAAAGAGTTTAGGCCATTGATATCGGATCCTGGTTCATCAGATATCAAGATACACAGGACTAAATGTAGTATGTTGATTCAAAATGTTATTGGAGCAGCTCTTAGAGTACAGTTGGTAGCAGACATTGGTGATAGCTGTTATTCATTGATAATTAATAAATCAACCGATGTCTCTGTTCACAAGTTTTTCGGAAATCTAATCGGGTTGACCGTTGGTTGACTTCATGGAAGGATTATGGACTCTCAATAGGATGGTAATAGGATGGACCATTTCCTATCCGTCAATAAATGGTTCATATATATGATGTCAGGTCGTTCACCACACAATCGCTCATCGGTGCACGGCGTAAATAAAATGTTTTATGTTTTGTGGTTGATATAAATCGGTTTTCAGTTTCGTATTTTTGGTCATGTGCGCTTTTGAATATATGAATTCAAAATCGATTCGAAAACTTTTGACGGCTAGAATAATCTCATATGTACTCATCTAAACAGATTTATATTCTTGTCGAAGAGATTTATCTATCATAGATAAATATCTAATAAGTAAGAACTGTATGGTAGTGTTGCATCACATATTATACTCAACTCACCCTTATTATTTCTTGAATTTTAGAACATGGGGAAAGGTGGTGGATGTTGTTGTGCACTTGCGGTTTGAAAGAAATAGTTTGTTGAGAATGAAAAGTTTGTATTCACAAGTGAAATATTATGAATTGGAAAGAAAAGTGTCACCGTCTCCATCAGATACTAAGAAACAAATACAAGAAATTGTATGAGGAGTCCTTTCACCGAAACAAATAGAAATTGTTCTGAGAAAAAAGAAGAGAGTTGTTTGGGCTGAAGAAGATATTTCCACCGCATAAACCCTCAGATAGTTTAGCAAGAGAGCATAATATATCTTTACTTGCGTGATAAATTAAAATATCCCCTACCATCCCTATCAACTCCAAGACGATGAGATAGTAATATTAAAATGAATGTAGGTATCCTTCCTGATGTACTGAATATCATGCAATGGGGAAGACCACTGAGAGAAGAAATCCGTTCATACCTCTTTCAATCGACGAAACATGATTTACGTTTGATGTACAATCAATATTATGAGTTAAAGCTGAAGGGAATCGAATCTATATCGTTTTGAAATCAGCATATTTCATTCGATATTTCAAACAGCCAAATATGATGGTGGAGTCGTGACGTATTAGTCCCGAACTGTAGCTATCTCTCTCTGATACCTCGTCATTCTGCAGTGTTGCAGTGTGATTGGTCAGTTCAAGGACAATAGGCGTGTTGGGAATAAGACGTCGCACCAGTCACACTAATGAATCGACAAAATTTCAAATGGCGCAGGAATTGTGTGTTTTGAAATAGACATATTCTAATTTATTTTTTCCATCGTCTTAGCATGAATGACAAAATTCAAAATTAATTTGCTGGTAGTTTTTCAGTATAGAGTTCACGATAATGTCATTTTAAAAAATCACTGGTCTCCCCCATTAGCTGGTGAATAATGTACTGAATTCGAAAGAACAGTGGTCATCGAGTATGATGGAATGGAAGTCAGATCATTATTTGAGTATGATGTGGCAACTGATTCCGTGTTAGGAGAGCATTCGCAAATGCAGGTCATGGCCAGATGATTAACAACCTGTGTAATCTGTGTTTGATGCTAAAATGAAGAGAGATACTCTCATCGAAATCATAAGTGCCTAACATAAGATAAATTATTCTGTGGTAGCTTGCAATAGTGAATGTGGTGGCGAAATCATTGGTTTATGGAGAGAGTTGGGAATTCCTATAGAGTCAACGTATTTTCTTCATCCCAACACACAAGAAGAAATATATATGTTTGCAGATGCTCCTCACTTACTGAAATGGATTAGAAATTGATAGCTTGTTAGTGGGTTTCAATTAGGAGGAGGTACAATAATTGATAGGACATCTCTGGAATTATATAGAATTATATTGCATGTTCAGAGATATGAGGATTAAAGGAAAGAAACAAGGAAATGGAGTACCAGATATTCCAAAGAGGAATTTTAATTTCCATAGAAAGTCAACTTATTTCTTGAGAACATGAAACATAAATATGACATCAAATATATATGCACCTATGAATTGAATCAAGATTGCTTGGGAAACTTTTTTTTCAAATTTGTAGTCGAGGAGGCTTTGATGATCATCCGACTCCACTTCATGCCATACAATGCATTCGTCTACTCATTTTAGGGAAAAACCTAGGCATACTTCACTCTGAGGCCAACACTGAGGATCAAACAACTGAGGAATACACGACTGCCAATGTATTTGAGTAAATGAATTTGGGTCATTCTGAATCAGCTATTGCTCCTGATGAAGATAATGATATCATTATTGATGATGATAGTGAACGTTTATAGTCACAATCATCTAACAGTTCTCAAAGAAATAAACAAGAAATTTCAAAGGATGCATTAGAGTACATTGCTGGTTATCTAGCAAT